ACAGCTCCCATTCTAACATTTTTGAGCCATGGACTTATTAGTCTAATGAAGCTCATGGATCCCTTCTCAGAATAGTGTTTTAAATGTGCAAATAAAATATACATAGGATTACAGAGGAAATCAATTCTTATTGAAATACTGTTAGCAAAAAGAATAAATTTGTGACACAGTAATACACACATTTCTTTTTTAAGCTATTAAATGATAAGATCTAGCTGTGGGCCTAAGAACTATGGTAATTTCAAAGTAGCAGTGAGTATAAACAGTATTTTGAGATACAGGACCTTAGTGTAGTCTGATATGAAAATATTTGATATTTCTACTGATGACAAAGTGACAGGTACTTAAACCATGAATATAACTTGTTGCCTATTTTCTTTTTAAAACTGTCATCTCTCTCTTTCTCTATTTTCTATGTATGTATGTATGTATGTATATCTATCTATCTATCCATCCATCCATCTAGCTAGCTAGCTATTTTTGAAGCCTACAGCACCCACTATTCCCAGGCTGGCTCTCATTCAAATACTAACTGGGACTGACCCTTCTTAGCTTCTGAAATCAAATAAGATTGGGTGGATTCAGGGTGGTAAGGACATAGATGTCTATTTTCACAATGGAGAGAAATGTTACATTTTAATTACAAGCTAATGAAATTAAGGTGAATTTTTTTTTTTCTATTTGATTCTCAGAACCTGTGATTTCTGTCTATGGCTGTGGGACCCAAATTAAAATCAACGGAGGTGAAGAATGTCCCCACTATAGTGACTTAATATGGTGAGAGAATTATAGCTACCACACGACTCTCAAGGCTGAGATTCTGAAGCAGAGTCTATGGATCTCTCAGCCCCCAGAAACACTGTCTTGAATTCTCCTGATGTAGTACCAGTGGAACAGAAAGTAAGTGACTTTGCTGATAGAGTATTAGACATTTACGCAGGATTTCTAATCTCCTCTTCAAGGCCAACATTATGACTCTCAAGTGTGCCTCCTATTCTCACCAAATGGCCCCCACAAATCTCCCCTGAGGCACCCTACCTTGGAAGCTTTTAATTTTATTCTAAAATTTATGTACTCTAAAGTTCTTACTTCACACTAAACCACCCACTAACCCACCTTCCCATCCATCCATCCATCTATCTATCCATCCAACCATTTACCCATCCATCCATCCATCCATCCATCCAGTAATGATCCCATGCCATAAAGGTATGAAAGTGTAACTTACCTCTCTTTTCAAATTTTCCCCTTGTTCATAACCTCATAGTGAGAAATATCTACATTAGTGCAAAGGATTGAGTACGATAAAGCCATCCTCAGATGTTTCTAGCATAACCGAAGCAAATCAACTCATTGCATACGCAGTTTTTGGGCCAATTTGTGAAAACAGGTGGTTATTCTTGGCTTCTGGTCCTCAGACCTGGAATGTCTAATACTGCTGGTAAAATTGCCTATCCCACATGTAAGTGTGATCATGATTTTCAATATTGTTCAGTATATCTCTGTTTTTCCTCTTTCCTCTCTCAGATGAAGATAGAACAGCAGCTTGCACTTCCTGTTTGTTTTGTCATTAAAAAATGATAACTTAATATTCTGCTTCTGTGCTATGGTGTTCTTTTGTGTTGTGGGCCCTGGCATCCCCCTTCAGAACTCTCACCTGGTAGCTGACTCCATGGAAACACTTATCTGTGGCTTAAATTAAGACATTTGAACTGGAAAGCAAATGTTTTTCTTTCCCTTTTATTCTAACCAAAACCTTCAGTGAGTCACATCTCACCCACTCCATGCTCACCTGGCCCTTCTGGCCACATGGAGCAAAGTCAACAACCAAGGCCCAGCACATGCAGCAGCAGCTGTCAAAGCAGAAGTCCTCAGTCATTGAACAGCTGAGTATTGTCATAGATCCTAGGGTTGCCACAGTGTACATGTAGGGGAAGCAGCTTCTTCTCACCACCATGGTGAGGATCTGAAAACCCAGTACTCGTGACACTCTCACCTTGACCCGCTTCCCCATCCAAGTGCACAGTTTGCAGTTTAGAATGGTGTGGCTCCCTCTCTCCCACTCAGCCCATCAGGCCCTTTGGTGACTCAGTAAACCGTGCCAAAACCAGGCTCTCTGTTCTCTTCTCTGCTTGGACTGACCCAAGAGTCCATCTTCCCTTTTAAATTGGCTTCGGAGGTCCAGATATAGACTATGAGCAAGTATTTCACTGCTTGATCTTGGTATTTTGTGGATACCTTTCTTATAGCTGATCAGACGAAGCCTTCACAGTCTAATTAAATGCTTGTGCCCCTTAAGAGCAGGGATCATGCCAATTGTTTCTATGTCCCCATTATCTAGCACAGTGCACAAGGCTATGGCTCTCATTTCCTTGATGTTTATGTGAGCCTAAAACATCAAGGAAATCAATTGATGGTATTTATTGGCAATGATAAAAATTAAGCTTTCAAGAGAAAGTTGGAATTTTGGAAAACTTGTATCTGCTACTGTGAACTTGACAGTTTCCCAGATACTTCTAAAGTTTTCTGATGAGATTGATGGTGATAGTAACAAAGTGATTTATCTGATAAAGTATAACTAAATGTGTCAACATTTGGAAGATCTGCATAATTCAGTGAACCCAGATTTTCTAAAAGATGAATAATGTTAGAAAATCATGCATAGGTAAAGGATCCATTCAAATGTAGGTAGACCAATAGATTTGAATTTAACAGCATAAGAAATAAACTTAAATATAACAGAATATGGAAAGTTCATTGATGTAGTTTAAGAAACTACAGCTTGTTGAATTTGGGTGTAGTACTTAAGTAGAACAGCCACAATTATCTAAAAGGCTACTAAAGTATTCCTCCCTTTTTCAACTACATTCTCTTTGAAGTCCAACTGAGCACAGGACGGGAGATGCTCTCATCCATTTACCCATCTACCCAAGGATGTGTGACAAGCTTTTTTTTTGCTTTTGTGCAGGATGTTTTCTTTTCTTTTCTTTTCCTTTTTACTTTTTGTCCTACACCCCGCCCCTTGCAGGATATTTTCTACTGCAAGGTACAGCAAATGCTTAAACAATGCCATTGACCCCCTCCCACTTTAGGAACACCTTGTAGTGGAGTCTCCAACACAACAGCATAGTCTTGTACTAAGTGTATTGACCCTGTTTACTTTTTGGTCTCTTTTTGTTGTTGCACTGCAGGTAGTGTCATTTACATTTTCATATACTTTAATCATGCCACCATGTTGCAATGGATTGAATGCAGAAGCAGCTGTGAGAATCTATTTGTCTTCAATTAAGTCAGATATTAAGAGATTTACAAAAGTGTAAAACAATGCCATCCTCATTATTTTTGTTTTTGAATATGTAGTCCATTTTTCACTGATTTGCTATATATGTTAATGTATCATAGGAGTATAATTGCTTTTTAATGAATTCATAAATATTTAAAATTTTTGTGTTTTAATTTCAAATGAGGTCAATATTGTTGTAAATAGGTAATAAAATTTAAACTCAAACTAAAATTTATTTTATTTTATTATTCAGCTATTTTTTAGAATGAAAAGGGCTGTCAAGTCAGAAAAGTTTGGGGACTGTCACTATAAGTTATTGGCTATGACAGAGGAGTGCACAAATGAGAGGAAGGAACAGAAGCCAAACCCGTAGAGCTGAATGTTTAGGAAAATTTTCTATTCACTTAGACTACAGTAAAATGAACTGTACATTCATTCTTTTCTTTCCTAATAATTTTTGTAGTTAAAGTGGCCCAGGTTGAGTGTTACTGAGTTAAAAGCTGAAGCCCAGAGAAGGAAGAAAGAAAACCATTCTTCATTCACCTTTTCTTTTTTTGTGTGTGCTTTTGTGCAGGATATTTTCTACTTCGAGGTACAGCGAATGCTTAAACAGTGCCACTGACCTCCTCCTGCTTCAAGAACACGCTGTAGTGGAGTCTCCAAGGCAACAGCGTAGTCTTGTACTGAGGGTGTGGCCCTGTTTACTTTTTGGCCTCTTTCTGTTGTTGCACTCAGATAGTGTCATTTACATCCTTTGGGAAATGTTTGTCATTCTAGTAGTTTCCTCAGAAGGCACACACTGTAAGCCAAAACAAAACAAAAAGTCAGCGCAGTAGAGCAGAAGCAAGATGATGCACACAGTGTTGGGTACACAGAAGATGCCACCTGCTAGTGGTTAAACTTGATTAATTGAATGTTGGTGATCCTATATCAGGGGTCTATAACATGTACACGTGATACACTCAGCTTACGTGTTTTTGTTAAAATATTGAATGGCTTTTGTTTCTTAGATTAATTTTTTTCTTGGACTTTATTTTTTAGAGATTTTATTTTAGGTTCATGGCAAAGTTAGGCAGAGGGTACAGAAATATCTCATATACCCTCTCCTCCAACACATGCATGGCTTCCCCATATCAACATCCCCAACAAGTGTGGTACATTTGGAACCTACATTGACACATCTTTCTCACCCAGAGTTCATAATTTACATTAGGGTTCACTCTTGGTTCTGTAAATTTTATTTTGACAAATGTATACAGACATGTATTCACAACTGTAATGTACAGAATAGTTTCACTCTTCTAAAAATCTTTTATGCTCTGCCTATTCATTCCTTCCTGTTCTTTATTCCTTGGCAATCACTGAACTTGTCACTGTTTTCTTAATTTAGCCTTTTCCGGATGTGATGTAGTTGGAATCACACAGTGTGTAGCCTTTTCAGATTGGCTTCTTTCACTTAGAAATATACACTTAAGTTTCCTCCATGGCTTTTCATAGCCTGCTAGCTCATTACTTTTTAGTGCAGAATAACATTCCATTGTTTGGAGGTGACACAGTTTATTTATCCACTCACCTACTGAAGTATATATTTGTCACTTCTAAGTTTTGGCAATTAGGAATAAAGCTGCTATAATCATTCATGTGCAGGTTTTTGTGTGGCCATAAGTTTCCAACTCCTTTGGGTAGATACCAAGGAACACAAATGCTGAATCATATGGTAAGGATATATTTGAGAGGTGAAAGATGTATATGCTCTGACAAGAAACCAGAGCATAATAAGGCTATGTTTAGTTTTGTAAAAACTGCCAAACTGTCTTCCAAAGTGGGTGTACCATTTTGCTTTCCTACCAGGAAAAAATGAGAGTTCTTGTTGCTCCACATCCTCACCAGCATTTGGTGTTTTCAGTGTTTTGGATTTCGGCCACTCTAATTAGGTTTGTGATGGTATCTCGTTATTGTTTTGATTTTCATTTCCTGGATGGCATATGATGCAGGGCATCTTTTTATATGCTCCTTCACCATCCGTATATCTTCTTTGGTGAGGTATCTGTTAAGGTCTTTGGATCATATTTTAATTGGTTGTTGTTTTCTTATTGTTAAGTTTCAAGAGTTTTTGCAAGAGTTTTTTGAATGTTGAACCAGCCTTGCATATCTGGGTAAATCCCACTTGTTTGTGGTGTATAGTTCTTTTCCTACATGGTTGGGTTTGACACACTTCATCCCTTTGCATCTTTTTATGTCTTTATATTTAAAGTGGGTTTCTTGGCCAGATGCAGTATCTCATACCTGTAATCCCAGCACTTTGCAAGGCCGAGGGTGGGGATTGCATGAACCCAGCAGATGGAGACCAGCCAAGGCAACATAGTGAGACCCTGTCTATACAAAAAATAAAAAATTAGCTGGGTGTGGTGGCGCATGCCTGTAATCCCAGCTACTTGGGAGGCTGAGGCAGGAGGATTACTTGAGTCCAAAAGTTTGAGGCTAAAGTGAGCTGTGATCATGCCACTGCACTTTGGCCTGGGTGACAGAATAAGACCCTGTCTCAGAAAAAAAAAAAAAAAAAGGTGATTTCTTATAGACAACATATAGGTGGGTCTTGTTTTTTGATCTACTGGGATGATCTGTGTTTTTTAATTGGTGCATTTAGGCCATTTTTTTTTTTTTTTTTTTTGAGATGGAGTCTTGCACTGTCACCCAGGCTGGAGTGTAGTGGTGTGATCTTGGCTCACTGCAACCTCCACTTCCTAGGTTCAAGTGATTTTCCTGCCTTAGCCTCCGAGTAGCTGGGATACAGGTGCGTACCACCACACCCGGCTAGTGTTTTGTATTTTTAGTAGAGATGAGATTTCACCATGTTAGCCAGGATGGTCTTGATATCCTGGCCTTGTGATCCACCTGCCTTGGCCTCCCAAAGTGCTGGGATTACAGGCATGAGCCACTGCACCTTGCCATTGATGTTTTAAGTGATTATATGTTTGGATTAATATCTACCATATTTGTTACTATTTTCTGTTTGTTGCCGTTTTCTATATTTCTATTTTTGTCTTTCACTCTTTTCTGCCTTTTGTGGCTTTTTTTGAGCATTTTATATGATTTGATTTTCTTTCATTTCTTAGTATATCAGTTATACTGCCTTATAAACCTTTTTAGTGGAGTCCTACAGTGTGCAGTATACATTTACAACTAATCCAACTCTGCTTTCAAATAAAAGTATATGACTTCATGGGCAGTGTGAGCACCTTATAATAACAAAATAATCTCAGTTCCTCCTTCCGATCCTTATATCATTGCTGTTATTCATTTCACTTATAGAAAAACATATATAGACATATATATGTGCATATAAAATCAAATGCATTGTTATAATATTTTTTGAGCAAACTGTTATCTATTAGATCAATTAAGAATATGTAAAATAAAAGGTTTTTCTCCCTTGCTGTTCCTTTCTTTATGTAGATCTGAGTTTCTGATCTATATTATTTTCTTTCTAAAGAAATTTTAACATTTCTTGCAAGGCAGGTTTAGTGGCAAAAAATCTTACCAATCTTTGTTTGTTCAAGAAAGGTTTTATTTCTCCTTCACTTTTGAAGGATAATTTCCTAAGGTAAAGAATTCTTGGCTAGTATTTTTGTTTTCTCTGAACACTTATAAATATTTCTTCACTCTCTCTCTCTGCTTGCATAATTTCTGAGAATTCTGATGTAATCCTTATCTTTGTTTCTATACAGGTAAGATGTTCTTTTCCCTCTGTCTTCTTTCAGGATTTTTTTTTTTTATTAACTTTGATTATCTCTTGTTTGAAAATGATATGTTTGGGTGTAGATTTTTGGCATTTATTCTGCTTGGCATTCTCCGAGCTTCCTGGATGATCTTTGACACTAACTTGGGGGGAAATTATGAGTCACTGATGCACATATTTCTTCTGTTCATTTCTCTTTTTCTTCTCCTCTGGTGTTCTCATTATGTGTATGTTACATCTTTTGTAGTTGGCCCATGGTTCTTGGATTATTCTGTTTTTGTTTTTTTTTGTTTTTTTTTGTTTTTTCCCTCAGTCTTTTTTTTCCTCTCTGCTTTTCAGTTTTGGAGGTTTCTATTGAGATATCCTCCAGTTGTGAAATTGCTTTCAGCTGTGTCCAGTCTACTAATAAATCTCTCAAAGGGATTCTTCATTTCTGTTACAGTGTTTTTTATTTCTAGCATTTCTTTTTGGTTCTTTCTTAGAATTTCCATCTCTCTGCTTATATTACCCATGTCCCCTTGCATGCTGTCTACTTTACCTGTTAGAACCCTTAGTATATCAATCATAGTTGTTTTACATTTCTGGTCTGATAATTTCAACATCTCTGCCATATCTGAGTCTTGTTCTGTTGCTTTGTCTCTTCATACTGTGTTTGTGGTTTTTAGCATGTCTTGTATATATTTTTTTCTTGATAGCTGGACATAATGTACCAGGTAAAAGGAATTGCTGTAACTAGGTCTTTATTAATGTGTTGGTAAGGTGTGGGGGGAGGGGGAGTACTCTATACCCTTATGATTAGGTCTCAGTGTTTTAGTAAGCATGTGCCTCTGGACCGTGAACTCCACATGTGCTTCTCAGACCTCCTACCCCACCCCCATAGGTGGGTCAGGATGGCTACAGTGGACTGGAGTTGGGTAGTTCCACCACATGTAAGGGTAGAGTCAGATGGAATTGGGTGTTTTCCTTCCCTCAGCTCAGTTAGGCGCTGATAAAACCCCAGCAGGTGAGGCTGTGGTTAACTATGTTCTCCTTGTTAAGAAGAACATAGTGCTTTTATGGTTTTCAAAATAGTTTCTTTCCTCTGCCCTTGATGTAATCATGAGGGAATTTTTCTCTGCTGTTCACTGTGAAGACCTGATGCAGCTCCTGGAGGTAAAACTTGGAAAAGCATGCCGTCCAACCCTTCCCCATGACAGCTCCCCCTGGAGTTTTTATCACTCAGATTTCTCCACATTGACCCTCCAGGAACTTGTCAGTTATAGTCAGGTTTCCTTAACCCAGTGATGGTTGCCTACGGCAGTTTCTGCTCTGTTGTGATTCTGTTGTGTATTCACCTGTTGGTCTCTCCCAATTTAGCAGCAGCAGTTTGTCCTCTAACCTAACTTCTTTTATAAGTCTAAGAAGAATTGGTGATTTTTCAGCTTGTTCACATTTTTACTTATTGTCACGGCAGAGTGGTGACTTCTTACATGCCAGACTGGAAACTGGAAATCCCATGAATGGCTTTTTAAACCAAGTTAATGTCAGGTACACACAATCCAATCCTTGGGAAACACAAGAAAAGAAGCAAGAAAAGGTAACTGTGATGGTTAATTTTATGTCAACTTGGCTAGGCTATGCTACCCAGATGTTTGGTCAAACACCAGTTTAAACATAATTGTGAAGGTATTTTTTTTTCTAATGATGAGATTAATGTTTAGATTACTCTCCAACCAAATGTGGGTAGGGCTCATCCAATTGGTTGAAAGCCTTAAGAGAGAAAAGAGTTTCATTTTCTTCCTCTAGGTCTCTAGAGAAAGAAGCAAACTGCCATGGTACTGTAGCTGCAACATCAACTCCTGCCTGGGTCTTTAACTTGCTGGCCTACTCTGCAGATTTTGGACTTACCAGCCTCCATAATCATCTGAGCCAATCCAATCTATACACACATCTTATTGGTTCTGTTTCTTTGGCAAACATTGACTAATATAGTAACATACTACAATTTTGAAAAACGGGGTAAAAGATGGTAATTTACAGTAGGGATTTGGAAGATCTGTGTAAAATATGTGATTTAGTCTACTCAATACCAGGCAATGCAGATGTTTTGGGAAGATGTCTAATGAGCCCTTCTGCCCCTTAGTTGGCTGAGCTCCAATTGAATTGAATTGAATTGAATTGAAATTCAAATATATGTATCTTTCTAGTATGTTAGGGAAATGTTTGCAAGATTTCATAAAGAGCTACTATTGGGAAATTCATGACATAATTTACAAAAACTTTTTTAAGAATCACATTTCTGAGAGAAATATGTTTTCCTGATGGTGCCAGGGGATCTCAGAACAGTATATAAGTCCTATCGTCTCAGTATTGGGTTTCCTGTTAATAATATTGCCTGGGGAGAAATGAACACCAGAGGTGGACCAATGACCAAAGGCAGAGACAGGTTCCTGGGATCAGATTCCAAATGACACGATGAAGCTTGTAAAGGCTTCCTAGGGGCAGAATACAAGTGATGGAAGCTGGAGGTGTGTTAGACTAGCCAAGTGTAGCTTCCACAGTAGAGCTTCATTGACAACCTCAGAAAAGAACAAGCTGTAAAAGGTACCTATTTATTGTAGGCAAAATAAATGTTTTGGAATTGGATTTCAGCCATGCTTCAATGACTTTGATGAGATTCCTAGTGAGGCTCTGCCCATGTCCTGTAATTAGGGTTCAAAACAGACTCCAACATCCTGGGAAGGATTGCTTCCTATTCTTCCAGCTTCCACTTTTCCTAACTTCAAATATGAACTGTCTTTATCAACACAGACAATTCACTAAGGTGTTTCAGTTACAAATCTTAGCTCACAGAAACAACCGAGTGTCTTTCTTTTCCTCTCTTTCTTTTTTTTTTTTTGAGATGGAGTTTCACTCAGTCTGGAGTGCAATGGTGGGATCTCAGCTCGCTGCAACCTCCACCTCCCAGGTGCAAACAATTCTCCTGTCTTAGCCTCATGAGTAGCTGGGATTATAGGCACCTGCCACCATGGCCTTTATATATATGTGTGTGTGTGTGTGTGTGTGTGTGTGTGTGTGTGTGTGTGTGTGTGTGTGTGTGTGTATTTGTTTTGTTTTGTTTTGTTTTGTTTTGTTTTTGAGACAGAGTCTTGGTCTGTCACCCAGGCTGGAGTGCAGTGGTGCAATCTCGGCTCACTGCAACCCGGGTTCAAGTGATTCTCCTGCCTTAGCCTCCCAAGTAGCTGAGATTACAGGCATGTGCCACCACACCTGGGTAATTTTTTGTATTTTTAGTAGAGACAGGGTTTCACCGTGTTAGCCAGGATGTTTTTGATCTCCCGACCTCGTGATCCACCCTCTTGGCCTCCCAAAGTGCTGGGATTACAGGCGTGAGCCACTGCACCTGGCCAATTTTTATATTTTTAGTAGAGACAAGGTTTCACCATGTTGGCCAGGCTGGTCTCGAACTCTTGACCTCAAGTGATCCGCCCTGCTGTGGCCTCCCAAAGTGCTGGTGCTGGTATTACATACTTGAGCCATCGTGCCCAGCCTGTTTTTATTTTCCATAATCATACTTTTTTTCCTTTTCCTTTTAAAATTTTTACTGATATATAATTGTTAATATTTTGGGGGTACATATGATGATTTGATACCTGTATACAATGTGTAATAATCAAATCAGGGTGATTAGGATATCCATCAGTTCAAACATTTCTCTTTTCTTTGTGTTGGAAACATTTCAAGTAATCTTTTCTTGTTATTTAAAAATATATAATAAATAGTTATAATTTACCTACTGTACTGTCAAATACTAAAACATTTTTTAAATCGAACTGTACTTTTGTACCCATTAACCAACTTCTTTTTATCTCCTTCTCCTCCCCTTCCCTTCCCTTCCTAGCCTCTGGTAACTACCAATCTACTTTCTACTTCCATGAGATCTTATTTTTTTTAGTTCCCAGATGTAAGAACATTTGATATTTGTCTTTCTGTTCCTGGCTTATTTCACTTAATGACCTCCAGCTCTATTTATGTTGCTGAAAATGACAAGATTTATTTTTTATGGCTGAATAATATTCCATTGTTTATTTTATATGGACCACATTTTCTTTTTCTTTTTTCTTTTTTTTAACTTTTTTTAACATTTTTTTAAAAGACACGGTTTCACCATTTTGGTCAGGCTGAACTCTTGACCTCAGGTGATCCGCCCGCCTTGGCCTCCAAAGTGCTTGGATTACAGGCGTGAGCCATCACGCCCGGCCTAGACCACATTTTCTTTATCCATTCATGTGTTGACAAATACTTAGGTTGATTCTATATCTTGGGTATTGCAAATAATGCTGCAATAAACATGGGAGTGCAGATATCCCTTCAATGTACTGATTTCCCTTCTTTTGGATATATCCTCAGCAATAGGATTGCTGGATCATATGGTAGTCCTATTTTTAGTTTTTTGAGGAATCTTTATACTGTGTTCCATAATATCTCTATTACTTTACATTTTCACAGTGTACAAGCCTTCCTGTTCCTCCACATCCTTTCCAGAATTTGTTATCTTTTGTTCTTTTGGTAATAACCATTCTAACTAAGGTAAGATGATATCTCATTGTGGTTTTGATTTGCATTTCCCTGATGATTAGTGGTGTTGAGCATTTTTTCATATACCTATTGGCAATTTGTATGACTTTTTGAGAAATGTCTGTTCAGGTCTTTTGGTCATTTTAAAATCAGAATATTTGTTTTTTGGTATTGAGTTGTTTCAGTTCTTTATATATCCTAGTTATTAATCCCTTGTCAGATGGATAGTTTGCAAACATTTTCTCCCATTCTGTGAGTTGTTTCTTCACTTCATTGAGTGTTTCCTTTGCTATGTAGAAGGTTTTGGCTTGATATAATCCCATTTGTCTATTTTTGCTTTGTTGCCTGTGTTTTTGAGGTCTTACCCCCAAAAAACCTTTGCCCAGAACAATGTCCTAGAGCATTTCTACAATGTTTTCCTTGAATAGTTTCACAATTTCAGGTCTTACATTTAAATCTTTAATCCATTTGGGGTTGATTTTTATATATGGTGAAACACAGAGATCTAGTTCTATTCTTCCATATATGGATATCCAGTTTCTCAGCACCATTTATTAAAGAGACTGTCCTTTCTCCAATGTAAGTTCTTGACACCTGGTTTCTCTGGGTTCTCTACTCTGTTCCATTTGTCTGTTATAATAATTGATGTTTTAAGTTCCCATTCACATAGGTGGCAAAAACGTAATTGCAGCCAATTCAGGATTCACATTTTTATCCTTAGGTTGTGCCTACCCTTAGTTAATAGTCCCAATACATTGAGAAGATCCCTTCTGATCTCTGATGTCATCTATCCTCACAGGCATCCTCGGAAACAGCAGTCCCTCTGTTTGGTCCTTATTTGTGATTCTGTGTAGCCTGCTATGGAGACATCCTTATTCCTATCCACATGGCCCTTCAGTCATGATAGCTTTCTCTGATACTTCTGTGCTTCTTTTGGCCTCAGGAGTTATTCTCCCCTTTCCAAGATGTGCCTTATTCTGTAGAGTCCCTTTGCTTCCTTGTAGCTCTAGTGAAGAAACAAGCCCATTTGATTTTGGATCCTATAATATATCTGGGGGATCTCAGGGATCAAGTAAAGAGCTGATTTATAATTGCAGTTTTCAATTTTTCCTTTTAACCCTCATCCTATCCTCATAGGGTTGGAAGGGCTGGCTTGTACTCTAGAAGCAACCTCTCAAATCTCTTGTCTATGCTACATGTCTCTCTTTTTTTTATTTCTTAACCTTAATAGCTACACGTTTCTTGATAGCTTTCCTATTAGCACAAAATGGGGTGAAGGCTAAGCTGGAGAGGGGAAGGGGAAAATAAAAAAAAAACAGGTTTTTTTTTTTTTTTTTTTTTTTTGGGGGAACCTTTGCCCCGGGCCGGAGTGCAGTGGTATGATCTTGGCTCACTGCAACCTCCGCCTTCTGGGTTCAAGTGATTCTCCTGCCCCAGCCTCCTGAGTAGCTGGGATTACAGACATGCACCACCATGCCCACCTAATTTTTGTATTTGTAGGTGAGATGGGGTTTCATTGTGTTGGCCAGGCTGGTCTCGAACTCCTGATCTCAGGTGATCCACCTGCCTCGACCTACCAAAATGCTAGAATTACAGACTTGAACCACTGTGGCCAAAAATTAGGATTTGAAAAATATTATCCTGCATCATGAGTAAGTTGAATATGAAGCCATGGAAACTGAGAGAGCAAGTTGTTTCTAAAGAGAAATTATCCCAAGAAAAGGAGGAAAAAGTGAGAAAGAATTAAGAGATGGATTGGGAACATTATTTTATTAGAAAATCAGTGACCATTCCTACCTTTATGACCCATGTCCCACCAGTGTTTGCTTGATGGGAATTTTTAGGAATGAGGTACATTGCTATCTTACTATTTTATATCTGAATAACGGGTATGCCTGACTTTTAGCACATTAATGGATTTTATAATTCAATAAATTATAGGCACTTAATAAAATTTTATTAAATGAATGAATGATAAAAAGCAGTGGACATAACTGGATATATTAAAGCAGCATGGGGCTGTATGAGCAAGGAGGAGTTTCATAAGATTAGGATTAAAAATTAATTTGATATATATATTTTTTGCTCAAGTGGTGTTTACTAGTCTTGGGGACCAGTACCTATGCATTACAGAATGTATTTCATTAACAAGTTTCAGGCAGGCACTTAACTATTGACACGGGAAACAGAAACAACCCAATAAATCGACTCTGCAGAGCTGTGTTAAAGGTTTTGGACTTTCATCCCTTGATTAGAGGTATTACTACAGCATCAAGCTGGCCTGCAATATGGATCATCGAGATCAAAGGCTATAAGTTATAATGTTTGCCTTTTAAAAAGTCAGTTCAACCCTGCATGTCATAGTTAGCAACTTGCAACTGGAAGCTACAACATGGATTTATGGAATCTGTCTTGGTTTCTGTTCTTGGATGCTCTTCTCGTGATTTCTGGCTTGGTAAGGAAACAATGTATAGAAAAGAATTAAACAATTTTGGGACAGTTGATATTGATTGTTAAAGAACAACTGTTTGTTAATTTTTGGTCTTTTTATACATCTCAAAATGTTGATCTCAAATGAGTATTTCTTTTTGGAGAGTAGGGGTGAATAGGGTGTAGGGAGTGACAAATAGCCGCACCAGAGTAGAGACATTGCCATAAGGTTATGTTTTCCTTTGAGTTTCACATGGTGTAACAATTTTTCTTTTGATAAGATTATAAATGTGAATTTTGAAAATCATACCATTTTTACTGCTTAATGAAATGCAGATTGCTGTGCAGTAACTTGAGACATGAATGAGTGTCACAGGTACCTTCAGTAGTTACAAAGTTTTTGTAACATGGTATTTCTCTTCTACTTCTTCATCAATTGAGACTAATCTTTTCTATCATGTAGTTTGTATCACAAACCAACCCAATGTTTTAAATGAAGTTTCAAACAGCTGGTGGAAAATCTTCAGTTGTTATTTTAAAATAACAATTATGATATTGGGCTGATATTCTATGAATAGGAACTAGGGCATTGCAAACGAGATACTGATGAATACATGTTAAACTGTAATTAGGAATAAATCCTTGATAACTTTGTTCTGTAGGTGCACTGGCATTCCTCTATGAGTGTGTGCCTGTGTGTTGTTATAGTGTGAAACATGCAAAACACTTGTTAATGTCAAAAATGATGGTAACCCCAGCCATCCAGTTCATTCCCATGTTTTATTAAACACTCCAAATGATTCTAGTATTTACATATGTAAGCTGTATTTGAATAAAATTGTACTTTACACTTTTGTGACAATTTATTACAGCTTACAATGTGCTTTCTTTCACATTATATCCTGTAACCCTCACAATACACATGCAAAGCACGTACTGACCATATTTTATGGATAGTCTGAGTGCCTGGAAGGTGAACTGAATTACTCTTAGTTAGTAGAACTGGGAACATAACCCAGACAGTCCTATGAACTTTTTTATTCAATTACACTAAGATGTTTCTCAGGTTTACTTCTTTTTTTTTTTTTTTTCTCCTTTGGACGTGTAGTCTGAATTTCATTGACCATTTGCGGAGAATCTATTTTCAGAAAAAAAATTAATCACAAAATGTAACCATTGTTTTTTTCTTAAATATTTGGTATTGTCTTTGAAGACAGAATTATTCTGGGAGACATATGAAAGTAAAATAACCTGATTAATGAGTCTTGAATAAAATTTATTTTTAACGTATTATTATAAATTATTGCTGGGCACGGTAGCTCACACCTATAATCCCAGCACTTTGGGAGGCTGAGGGGAGCTGATCATGAGGTCAGGAGTTCGAGTCCAGCCTGGCCAACATTGTGAAACCCTGTCTCTACTAAAAATACAAAAATTACCTGGGCATGATGGCAGGCGCCTGTAGTCCCAGCTACTCAGGAGGCTGAGGCAGGAGAATTGCTTGAACCTGGCAGGCGGAGGTTGCAGTGAGCCAAGATTGTGCCACTGCACTCCAGTCTGGGTGACAGAGTGAAACTCCATCTCAAAAAAAAAAAAAATTACAATATTATTTCAACATTGGGAATAAATTATTAGGTTTTTCAAACATTGCTCCATGAATGCTTTAGAAAATCATGTGTAAACTGAGCACTTATTTGAGAGCTAGAGTCTTATGTTCTACCTTCCTCCCCCAAGTTTTGAAGTTGGTTTCTTGTTTCCTTCACCTTCAAATTGATTTAACAGGCTGTTCCATTTTCCATATAAAATGAGAAGACCTTTTGATCAAAAAGTCATCTTAGACTTCAATTTAGCAATCCTAAATACATGTCAGAAGGTAATCCATGATATTAATGACAAAATAAACAACAAATGGTTAGATATAAACTGAATCCAAGAAGGCCATTCTTGGGCATTATAATAATATCTTTTGTTTATGTGTTTGTTTCTCAGCCAACTCCAGAAAACTTTGGTGAGTCTATTTTGAGTTTTGCTCTAGGTTGTAGAGAACCTTGGACATATTTAATGCTAAGCATCATACATAATTACTTATGCATAATTCATGCATAATTGCATTGAACTTTGATCTAACACTGGATTCTTTTGGTTTATGAAGGGATATTTTATTGTCCATGTTCCAGGATTCATATATCCAGCGGAAAAATAGAAGGTGGTATGGGAAAGGCCAAGAACAGCGACTGACACATAGACATCCCATAAATGCTTGTTATTACTATTTTTGTTTTTTTGTGTCAAATCAGATGGACCTAATAATACAATCTACTCAGTGTTCACTTTACTATTTTTGTTATTTTGTGCCAAATCAGAGGGACCTAATAATATAATCTACTCAGTATTCACTTGCATACTCAGAGATTTGGCTATATTATATATCCCTTTGCAACTGAAAATAATAATTCAAGTTTAACTTAAAAATTTTGCTTGAAAGTTCCAAGGTATACTACTAGCAAGTGATATACATGTATGAGTAGATTGGGCTAATTTGACCAAATTTAATCATTTGTTTCCTATTTAATCTGGTTTTCCAGTCTTTCAAATTAAGCTTAATAATATACTGAGCAATGAATTTCTTATTCCTGAATTCATCTGACATTCCAGAAATATGGATAGGACAGAATACGTACACAAAACCTCTTTAGACCCCAACCTAGCTCATAGGAGATTCTTAATCACTCAATCAATCAATTAATCAATGTATGTCGAGTCAGAATCTAGTAGTCACCTGAGGGCAAAAAGAGACTTGCTTAGTTCTGATTATATAAATGATAAAGATTTGCTCTTTTTATAAACATGATGTTCAATGTGTTTTTGTTTTTTGTTTTTTTTTTTTTTTTTTTGCTGTTGTTGTTTTAATCAAAGACATAGATGGTGGAATGGACCAGGACATATTCGATATCAATGAAGGTTTGTGGACTTTTTTTACATCATCTCTTAAGTAGAGAGTTTGAATCCAATTTGCTAACATGAATTTTTATCTTCACTCTTAGGTTTGGGACTGGACCTTTTTGAGGGTGACATCAGACTAGATGGGGTGAGTTGAAACAGTGTGAAGAAGAATCTCCTATTAACTACTGGAAGCCAAATTCAGAGTAACTGAGAAAGATTAGATAGCATGAATTTTGTTAAGCCCAACTATCTCTAAGTGCACAGAATCATGTCGACACATTTATTCAATGAATGTATCATACTAGAAGGAATGCATACAATTGTGTCTTCATCTTTCATTACTCAGATTTCTGTGTGGTTCAAGCCACCATAACTCATTACATAGATCTTAGTCTTATTGATTTGATTGATTTTCATTGGAGCCATATGACATTTTCATTTTAAAATAGGACCTCACAGATTCAATCTAGTGGAAGCAAAATTAAACTGAATTTGTAAACATCTTCAGTGAATCAGGCTTTTTACCACAATGAATAGATTTTGTGACTTCTACCCTGGCCTTAGCTAAAAATAATGTTGCCAAGTAAAGACCCTCCCAAACCTATTCATGAAGAGTGTTGATTCTCATCTAAGTCATCATGCCACACAGTTAAACACAGGTATCTTACATGTAGATTAGGGGGACTAAAAAGTTCACTATCATAAAAGCACTATTTTTTTTTCAGCGTTCTCTCACAGAATGAAAATAAGCACTATTTTTTAAAAGACAAGATATAGTTTATTGTCCACTCGATTGAAAAGATTAAGAAACTTAATACTTACTATCCCTTTTAGTGATGATAAAGAGAAACCAGGATGCTTGTTTTGGAATGTGTTTATAACATGTTACAATGGACAGTGTATAATCTTGAAAAAAAGAGAGAAGACAATTTGACAAGAGCCATCATAATTTAAAATATGTACGCCATATGACCTATAAATTATCCAATAGATCTTTTCCTTTAAAATACTGCTCTTCCAACACAGGCTTGAGTCACTCCCTTACTTCCTTTATCATAAGCACCAACATCCCTCACAGTCCTCCCATCCTCAGGAAACAGAGCTACAGTGTTCCAGGCTTAGTCCTGAGCCTACTCTTCTATCTGTATTCTCTCTTGATCTCACCTTGGGCCAGGGATTTAAATGTCATCCCCATGCCAGTGACTCCAAAGGCGTATCTCTGGTCCTCTCCTTTCCCTGAGCTCCAGACTGGTCTATCCAAGCACTAATTTGCCAGCTCCACTTGAATGTCTACAAGACATCTCAAACCTAAGGTGTCCTCTGATCAGGTAAACTCTGATCTTGCCTCCAAACTGTCCCTCCCCACTCTCCCCTCCTTGTAAAGTCATCCTCACTCCCTGACTTCACTCAACTGAACACATACAAACTTTAAAAATCACCTTTGCTTCTCCTCTCTCCTTCACTTCCCATCCTGCCCGTCAGCAAGTTCCATCATTTCTAGCTCTAACATACACTGCAAATCATCCACTTTTCTCTATCACTCTAATTCAAGTCCCATCATCTCTTGCCTAGCTTTTCCCATTAGCCTCCTAATTTGTCTTTCTATTTCATATATTGTTCCCCTATAATCTTTTCCACCCTGTTACTTGCCCTCATCTCCTACAGCAAAATCATTTTTCAAACAGGCAGTGACTTCATTCCACCTCCTGGCTTGAAACTCTTCCATAGCTGCCTATGGGTTTAGAATCATCTCCAGACTTAGCCCTAGCCCTCTAAGCCTAGCATGACTTCGCTCCTGCTTCCCTCCCCTCCCACCCCTCTCCTCTCTTTTTCTCCCCTCTTGTCTCATCCATGCTGTCTCCTAACTCATTAGGCTACTGGTCTCAACACATATTCAAAACAAACCAGGCATATTCCAACCTAAGAACCAGAGCAACTAATATTCCCTCTGCCTTGAACCACCTTTCCAGGCAATGCTGGCTCTTTCTTGCGATTTCTATTTCCGCTTAAATGTCATCCCTTCAGAAAGGTCTGTCTTGATCACTCCATCTCATATACTCACTCATCCCTGTGCCCTTGTTCACACATCTCTTTCTAATTTCCTTCCTGTGATCTTGTTTAAACATTTTTTTCCCCATACTCTTTTCTCTCCTCCACTAGATAAAAGCTCCATGAAGCCAGATACTTTTGTTACCAAGGAATCTCTGTTCTCTAGAACAATATTCAATGTATTGACTGGGTAAATACATTAGTGAAATATTATTCATTTTCTAGTATGCAGTTTGAAACCTTTAAAAATTTCTGAAAACTTTGGCCCAGCTCATGTGTGACTTTTTCTGATATTGTGCGATCCAGATTATCAAGGTATTAATATCACTTTTTTCTTGCATATTTTTAATCTTTAAGTGTAAGATACTAACCTATAAATCTACCAATATTTGTAGTTCATATTTCCAACAGTTATTTTCTACATTATTCCTTCTTCAACTATATTAACAAAATTAACGATAGAAATTAGTAATTTCCTCCTAGAAACTTTGTCATATTATGATAAACGTAGGGCCACACACACACACACACAATTTTTGCTGAGAGAGCTTTAAACTTCATTTATTTCTAGATTAACTACTGATTGTTTCCTAAGTTTTTGCCTTATTCGTTTAACTGGCCCTTTCTCATTTATTTTTGACAGGCACAGGTTAGAAATTCCATCATTGGAGAAAATTATAGATGGCCTCATACAATTCCATATGTTCTAGAAGATAGCTTGGGTTAGTATGCACCTTGGAGTATCCATAACTAATGTATATTTCTGACAGAATATGATTACAGTGTTCAAAGGGTGGGCTTATATAGTCTTTAAGGTTTTGTTTGTTTGCTCTTTTGTGTGGCTATGTGCATTTACTTAAAAAAATAAGCAAAATGAACAATAAAAATAACCTAAATGATTCTGTCTGAAATATTTACAGTGTCTTGACCAATATAGTAATTAGTTCAACCAACATTTATGGAAAGCCTACTCTGTTATGCTAAGGACATAACAATTAAGGAGCCAGTCTTTTTTTGGGGGTAGGGGCTCTGAATCATGTATTCATTGAACCAGTACAAAAACATATTTTGGGGAGCAGGCAGGCCAGGCCAGGGCCCCGGGAAGATGCTGGGAGTGTGGTGGGGTGAAACATGGAAGAAGAGAGCCTTGCTTCCTCTTCTGATGGCAGGTACACCCCGTCTCCTGGATTCTGGATTCCTGGTGAGTGGGGCCGCTGACTGTTCATCTGCCTGTCTCCTTCTACCCCTACAAGCTCAGGGAAGAAGGGTCCTTGGAAGCCAGGGGCTGGGAGCCCAGTTTCTCTGGTACCCTCACTGACTTGGGCTCAGTAGCCATGGGTTCTTCAGCCTTATCACTGTTTCTGTTGGCCTCCTGAAGCTGGCGTCACCATGCCACCTTGGCGTTCAGATTCTCCAAATCTTTTTGGCTGAGAGGAATGAAGAGGGTGCCATTGATGCCTTTGAACTGCTCCAAGACGCTGGCTATGCCAGGGGCTGTGAAGTTGAGGGGTGGGATATTGTTGCTGGAGCCATCGTGGTAGATCTCGTTGATGGTGTGCTGCAGGGCCACGGCCAGCTGGGTCAAGCGCTTGAGGTACTCTGAGCTTTCCTTGGTCTTCCCCTGGTCCTCGCTTAGGTGGGTCTTAGGGAGGGTGTGCAGCCTTCCTTCTTGTGCTGCAGGGCCAACCGGAAATCAGCTTTGCTCTCACAGACCCGGTGACAAGGTGGTGGCCAAGGGCCACCTTGAGGGCCTCGGGCCCGTGGTAGGTGGTGCTGACAGCCAATGTGCTGTCCAGGAAGCATGGTGACAGGTCGTACTCCATCACCCTGTGCAGCACCCACCCAATGTTGTCCAGAAGCTCCACCTCGGGTGTCTTTTTTTTTTTTTTTAAATGAGTTTTCTCATATGTATAATTGATCACAGGGTAAACCTTAAAATAAAGAATGGCTCCCTGTGAGCCCATCAGTGTGGCCCTGCACCTGTTTAACAAAGTGTACGAAGCAGTGCACATGAGGTAGCACCTGCAGCGTGAGGTAGCGGGTGCCATGCAGCAGGCTCAGCACCAGGGACACATGCCTGCTGGTGAAGCAGTGCAGGGCCAGGTGCATGTTTTCCTGGATGGTATTGGGGTGCTTGATGCCCATCACCTGCGCGCTCATCAGCACTGCCTTCTGCTGGCTTCTCAGGGCCTCTGCGCACTCACCCATGATGTAGTGGAGGCAGGCGAGGGGGCACAGGTCCACGTGCATTGCTCCATATACTTTGTTAAACAGGTACAGGGAAGGCCTGACTGATGGGAGCCAGTCTTTATTTTAAGGTTTCCTCTATGATCAGTTATACATATGAGACAATGCATAAAATAACCAACTAAATACAACTTGAGGAAGTGGCATTGTTTTATCAACATTTTATTTTGCCAGGTCAGGAACTTAATAACAACCCACTAGCTTTTATCATCCTCTTTTCATACAATAAATGATGTTATTAGTTTAGTATTAAAATGTTAAAAAGTCAGAATAATCAAATCCAAAACTAAGGACAGTTATCTATAGAAGAAATTTAATTGTGTTGGAAAACTCTAAACATGATCTTCATTTTATCTATGGACCAGTGACAATGATGTCACTGACCAGCATTAGTTTAGAAATTGCTCTTTGGGAAAAGTTTGGGTCGAAATTCTGTTATAGTTTTTTAATTTTTAATTTTATTTTTCATTTTTTTGAGACAGAGAATTGCTCTGGAGTCAGTGGCATTATCTCAGGCTGGAGTGCAGTGGCACAATCTTGGCTCACTGCAGCCTCTACCTCCCAGGTTTCAGTGATTCTTCTGCCTCAGCTTCCTGAGGAGCTAGGATTACAGGAATGTGCTACCACACCTGGCTAATTTTTGAATTTTTAGTAGAGATGGGGTTTCACCATGTCAGCCAGGCTGGCCTTGAATTCCTGGCCTCAAGTGATCTGCCTGCCTCAGCTTCCCAAGTGCTGGGATTATAGGTGTGAGCCACTGCACCTGGCCTGCTATAGTTTTTAAAATTCTAAACTTTTATTTTAGCTTAAGGGGGTGCGTGTGCTCGTTTGTTACATGAGTGTGTTGCATGATGTTGAGGTTAGGGGTACAAATGAACCCATCACCCAGGAGCTGAGCATAGTACCCAATGGGTAGCTTCCCCAACGCTTTCCTCCCTCCCTTCCCCTTCTTGTCGTCCCCAGTGTCATTCTTATCTTTACATCCATGTATACGTAATATTTAGCTTCCACTTATGGGAGATCATACAGTATTTGAAAACCCTGCTATTTTCCTTAAAGATCATGCATTTCAGTGGATATTCACATAAAACAAGTCAATTATAATAGAATGGAATAAACATCATGATTAGTGATATGTTCAAAAAGCTATGGGAGCACATTGGAAGGGCATTAAATTCAACCCAGATAGAAAACATATTCATTATAAGCAGATGACACTAGATAGCAGGACTGCGACGAAGGTTGTGTAAGTTGTACACCCTACAACTGACATGGCCTCCTAAAGCTGGTGCCATCATGCCACCTTGGCTTTCAGATTCTCTAAGTCTTTGTGACTGAAAGTAATGAATGAAGAGAATGCCACAGATGATGTAGAGCTGCTTCAAGATGCTGCTCTCAGGTGGCTGGGTCAGGAAACAAGTGGCGCTGATACCAGGTTTACGTTCTTTCTGTTCACCAGGAGGCATTTGTTTTCTTGTGTGAAAGTGCTGTTCACTCATCTGGCCAGCTGGCAGCTGCAGCACCTGCTCAGATGTAGTGCCTCTTTCTAATCGGCACACAGGTACCATGTGGGCTAGTGTGGCCTCTAATAGCAAGGGAAGGTGCTTTAGCCAGATGGACCATGATCTGTAAGGCTTGGAGAAGGGAGAAAACCCTGTACTGGGATTTAGATTGAGAGTGAGGAGGTAGGAAGTTGAGCAGGTAGGCAGAACCCTACCTAGGTTCTGGGGGAAGGACCTGGGTCTTTCCTATGTTAGAGAACTTGTTGTGTATACTAATAACACGGAACCACCAAAAGTATTATTGTGGCAGTGAGACTGTTAAAATTGCAGTTTAAAATAATCACTCTGGTTGAAGTATAGAAGATGTGTCATTAGTGAGGTAAAAAGAAGGTAGGGAGACCAGCTAGAAAACTACTGAGTAAATTCAGAGAAAGAATAAAGAGATTCCTAACCAAGACTTTCTCAATAGGAATAGACAAAAGTAGATAAATCTAAAAGCTATTTAGGAGGCATTTGCTAGATTTGGTGACTGACTGTAAGAGGTCAAGAAGAAGGTGGGCCTAGGTAAAGAGATTCTAGTGCCTGGGATTCAGTTTTGGGTAACTGAGTGGATGGTAATGTCTTTAACCAGAATGGAGAATTTAACCTTGAGGAGCATGAGACAGAGAAGTACGGTGGAAATTTGTTTTTGACATGCAGAATTTGAAACGCATCAGGGTCACTGTGGTGGCGATACCAAATAAAGTGTTGGTATGTGACTTGGTCATTCTAGATTGAGAAATGTTTGGGAGTCATTAGGATGTAAGAGATGGTTGGAGCCATAATTATGGATGAGCATTTTATACAGTGCCTTGCATATAACAGGTGCTCCATAGATAACTGGATTTTATTGATTTATCCTGGAAGGTTACGCGGAATAAGTAAGACGATGGTAAAGAATGAAACTCAGTGCCATTTTTTGGAACTGGTATAGAAGGAACATCTGGTGGAAGTTATTGAGAAGGGGGAATTGGCCAGAGAGATAGATGAAAAACCAACAGTAGGGTAGGGAAAGCCAAGGCAAGAGTAGTTAACAGGGTTGGAAAATACAAAGACCACACAAAACATGAGGAGAGAAAGATATTCATTGACTTTTGGAATCAGGAACCTGAAAGATTTTGAATATATATATATTTTTGGCTTAGTGTTTTGATAAAAAATTTTTAAGTTCTTTTGTTTTAAACCGACCTTCCTTCCTTCCTTCCTTCCTTCCTTCCCACTCTGTCACCCAGGCTGGAGTGCAGTGGTGTGATCTTGGCTCACTGCAACCAGTGCCTCCCAGGCTCAAGTAATCCTCCCACCTCAGCCTCCCAAGTATCTGGGACCACAGGTGCATGCCACTATACTTGGCTATTTTTTGTATTTTTGGTAGAGATGGGGTTTTACCATGTTGCCCAGGCTGGTCTTGAATTCCTGAACTCAAGCAATCCACCTGCCTTGTCCTTCCAAAGTGTTGGGATTTCAGGCGTGAGCCACCACGTCCAGCTGTATTTCTTTTTTTTTTTTTTCAAATCCATTCTCCTAATTATGTTCCATGAAAAATGAGGGAGCTTTAATTTTATATATCTCTTAGTCCATTTTTTCCCCATGTATTTTAACTAAAGCCCTCTAAACTTATGAACTTTATTTATTTTTAAACAACATTATAAACAACATAATGAATGCCTTGAGGACAAGAGCTATTTTTCATCTTGCAAATTGTAGGATTACTATAGTTTCTGTCATGTTATATGTAGTTAATAACATTTTTGAAATAAATTGATAAGCATATGTGTGTGTGTATATATATATCTATATATATAAATGAAATATGTTAGGTAAAAATTCAGCCTAGAAACTGCACATTTTTACATAGTTATAACTATGATGTCTTAAGTTTTTTGTTCTAATTTTGTTCACTTAATGTTATTGCATTTGTTTTTGTGTTGTATAGTCTTCTTACTAGAATCAAACTTCAAATTTTTATAGACCAATTTTTAAAAATTATATGATTTTGATTATTTCTTGTTTAGAAAATACCTTTGTTTAGTGTTGTAGAATTCAACTTATTTTCTATGTAAGAAAAGTATCCTCATGTTTCAGAAATGTATACCATCTTCAAATGACTCAGACTAAGAAAATTACTAAGTAAGGCCACTCTTACAGGTAGCAAAAGTAAATAACTATGAAGGGTTGATTCTGGAAGGCCCTATTGCTCAGATTCTAGTAGGTCGACCTGTAGGGCTGTAGTCTTTGAGCTTGAACTTCAGATGTTACCTGGCTGGTAGATGCAAATTCCCTGAAAGGTGTAACACTCAAAGCAGCCATTTATATTTTCCAGGGCCTAAGTTACAATTCCTTGCCTTCGTGCCAAGGAAGAAAAAGCAGTGGGGGATGCTGAGGGTAAAGAGTTGGGGATGGAAATGAAGGGGAAGGTGCTAGAAACTGGAAGGGCCTACTAAGGGGAAACAATCCTGAACAGCTGCTTACTGAACCCCTAGGATTGCCAGCAACTTGCCTCATTTTTCGAAGCCTAGGGATTTCTATGACATGGTTTCAAGTGGAGCTTTCTGCCTCTATGACATAAGGTTAACTAAGGCCTTTGGTAAATAAAGGCATATGGAAAATAAAGATCTTATCTTGGTTGAGGGCCTCACTGTTTATCAAGCTTTCACATGTTACTTTATTTATTAATTCAACACAGGGAAGAAAGTATCTTCCTTAAGTATCAATAAGTGGCCTAGACTAGTATGATCTTTTTACATTCTGTTTAAACCAGTGATATGATGGTCAGAATCATCATAACTTAATTGAAGGAAGCATTACATTTGAAATAATAACCCAAATATGATACTTATAGCACAGAACATTTTGAATGCTACAGCCATATGTAGATACACACACATACACACACACACACACGTGCACACACACACTCACACTTTGCATTCTATTTCAGGGTGTTCATAGACCTTCCCATCTCGAGGTCTTCCGATTAAAAGCCCAGCTGTGAGGACTTAAATGCATATTGTAGCTTCTCAGACTAAGTATGTGGTGGTAATTTATTTTGATTGCCCATGATCCAATGCCTAATGGATCCAATTTTTAATGCTCCATTCTTTAAAATGATAAAAACAATATTCAATGATGAAAAAAGATTTTGATGACACAGTATTTAGAGAAAAAACAGTTGGTAAAATGCTATGTAAATGATGACTTTATTTTTAACAGAAATATTAGTATATGTATGTGATATATGCATTCAAAGGCAAAATGATAGGATTTTAAATTTCTTTTTATTCGTATCCATTTTTAACTTATTTATAATAATAGTGTATTATTTGTGTGGTATTGTAAAAGTCTGAACTTAGTGCCTTTTACAACTTAATGGATTTTATGGTCTTCCCTATGTGAATCCTGTTCTTGATCTTCTTAGACCTGCCTTGACAGAGGCAAAGCAAGTAATCCTCCTTGAACATCTATGCAACGGTCACTCAAGAAGGGCGAAAGGAAATGAACGTTTGACAGATGCTAATTTCACTTGGAATTTCACCTTTACTTTCTCTTATTATATTCACAATACCCTGCAAAGTTGATTTTATTTCCTCACTGAATTGATGATAACACCAAAACTCCAAAGGTTGATGGCAAAAAATGTATGTCAAAAGTTATATGGCAAATAACACCAAAGCTCCAAAGGTTGATGGAAAAAGTTGTATGTTAAAAGTAAGCAGTGAGGATAGGGAAAAACTTAGGTGTGTCTGGCTCCAAAGTCCAAGCACTTTCCCCTCTGCCATACTGTCTTCTGCCTCCTGGCAGGCTACCATCTTTCACTTCACTAGGACCTGGCCAATGTGATGCTTCTCCATGTGCATCTGATACATCCCCTTCCTCCTGGTCACTCACAAGTTTATTTTCCTGCATGTTGGTTCTTCTAAGCCTCTGCCTTCTTTGAGCTCCATATCCACATCATTCTTATCTCCAAAGCATTAGCTCTTACCCATATTTTGGACCCTGAGCTCACTTGCAGACCTCATGAAAGCTCTCTCTAGAAAATGCACTTTGCATATGTAGATATGTATGCACACACACACACACACACACACACACACACACACTTTGCATACGATTTCAGGGTGTTCATAGACCTTCCCATCTCAAGATCCTCAGATTAAAAGCCCAGTTGTGAGGCTTTAAATACATATTATGGCTTCTCAGATGAAGCATGTGATAGTGATTATTTATTTTGATTGCCTGTGATGCAATGGATATGTTCTTTGAGGTAAAGAAATGCATTTTTATTGTTTAGTAATGCACCATTAATGAGTGCTAGAGAAATATGAGGCCAAATAAGGAATCTGAAGAATAAGCAGATACTGTGTATGATATTCAATGGATAATGAATTTTAATTTTTGTAAAAATAAAAGACTCAACATTCATGAAGGAACTAACTCATGATAAGCAATATATTGCATGGCCTGCTTTCATGGTGGATTTTTCAATGGTGATTGTTTTAATAAGTATATTTTTGTTTGTTTTCTTCCTTCAGAAATGAATGCTAAGGGAGTTATCCTCAATGCATTTGAACGCTATCGCCTAAAAACATGTATCGACTTTAAGCCTTGGACTGGAGAAACAAACTATATATCAGTGATCAAGGGCAGTGGGTAAGTTGAAGAGTTAGTCTTCTAGGGCTTCTAAGGAGAACTCTAGTGCCTGGGACATTACATTATAGCAATCGTCCTAGGCTCTGACCTTTAGGAAGGGGTGGGGACTTTTTTGCTAGTTGCTGGAGAGTAAAAGACAACTGGATCTAGTTTTCATAGACATACAAATTATATTTTCAGACATACAACCACCTTTAGACAAGGTGGATGGGTTCGCATGCCATCAGACCCACAACCTTGTGAATCTCAGCCTGTTTCTAATTTACATACTGTTTATCCCTTTCAAGTAAAAAACATGTGTATGTAGGCATGTCCATGTCTGTATTTAAATTTACTTTAACCTAACCACTCATTTTTTGAGTTAAGAAGGCGACAGTATTATTTGTCTTGAGCTCAGCAATTCTGAGTGGTTGCTGTCCCCATAAAGCCCTTGGTAATGGGCATAGGCACATCCAGGAGGATCTCAAAGACTATGAAATTCATAGGAAAAACCAGGACTAGGGGGATGATTTGCTCTTATGTAATATTTAGCATTAGGGGAACTTCTTTAAAGATCACCTGGTCTGTAAGGTTTTTTCATATTGTATAATACCTAGTATATTAGATCATTCTTGCATTGCTATACAGAAATACCAGAGACTGGGTAATTTATACAGAAAAGAGGTTTAACTGGCTCACAGTTCTGCAGGCTTTACAGGAAGCATGGTGTTGACATCTGCTCAGCTTCTGGGGAGGCCTCCAGAGCTTATAATCATGGTGGAAAGTGAAGTTAGAGCAGGTATGTCACATGGCAAAAGCAGGAGCCAGAGAGAGTGGGGAGGGGAAGGTGCCACACACTTGTAAATGACCAGATCTCATGAAAACTCACTATTGTGAAGACAGCACCAAGCCATGAGGGATTTGTCCTCATGACCCAAAGACCTCCCACCAGGTCCCACCTCCAGCACTGGGGATTACCATTCAACATGAGATTTGAGTAAGGACAATTATCCAAACTATATCACCTTTGTTAAGAGAGAAATGCACGGTGTTCAGATGGACGAGTAAAGGATTAGGTGGGTAATGAAGTGGACTAGGCAGTGGGGATTCTGCCCCGAAACCCCAGATTGTAACGTCCTCTTCCCCCTTTCTTGTAAACTCTTCTATAAGCTGCTGGTCTTCAGTAGGAAATAGGCGGATTGGGAGGCAAGAACTTTCCATCGGGGCAAACTGTGACCGAATAGCAACGGTTCAACACGAGTTCCTCCACGCTCTGGGATTCTGGCATGAGCAGTCACGTTCTGATCGGGATGACTATGTCAGGATAATGTGGGACAGAATTCAGTCAGGTACATTTATCTTGTTTTCCAACGTTTTTAGTTAAGGACTGAATTTCTAAGCATGTGTCCTCTCTTGTCCTCTGTGGCAACTGTTAATGATTTTAAGACTTTGATGTTTTGATGTCTTATTTCATTCAGCTCTAACTCATTCTGAGCTATGAGAGCACTAGTATTCCAAAACTCATATGAGGTAGATATGTCCTTATAAACTGGGTTTGTGGTTCTTAAAGCACATTTGGTCCCATAGTATGTTCATGAGTGTTCTGTGGAAAGGGGTCTGTGGCCCAATTTGGCAAATCCTCAAGTCTGAGTCCATCTTGTGCTGCTATAACAAAACACCACAGACTGGGTCATTTATAAAAACCTGAAATTTATCCCTCATTGTTCTGGTGGCTGGAAAGTCCAAAATCAAGGGGTGGACATTTGATGAGGGCCTTCTTGCTGTGTCTCATGCCATGGCAGAGGGCAGAAGGGCAAGGGAGAGTCAGAGAGAAAAAAACAGGGCCAAGTCTGTCTTCACAAGGAATCCAGTCCTACAGTAGCAAACTTACTCCTGCAACAATGGAATTAATCCATTTATGAGACAGAGCCCGCATCGCCTAATTACCGCTCATTAGGCCCCACCTCCAACACTGTTACAGTGAGGATTAGGTTTCCAATACATGCTTTTAGGGGGACATATTCAAACCATGGCATCTAGGTTAAAAGAAATTAGACTTATTTATCCTGCCATACTGCTCAGAGTCTTTATTAGGTGGACAGGAATTGTAAATCTCTAAGAAAACAAGCATTTCCCAACATGATTTGATCATGGTCTTCTTTCTTCTTTTTGCAGAGTAGCTTGTAGAGTATTTGGATTTATTGTTTCATGGAACAATCTTCAGTAATAGTTGAATAGCCTGAACTGTTGGTGATTTTGTGTTCAAAGTCACAAAGTCTTAATAACCATGTCTGACTAGAACTCATGTTTTCCACATTCCACAGTGACACTCAGCTTCCTCATCTGTCTTGCCTGTATGGGGTGAGGCAGAGGAAAGGGCATTGCTATTATGTCTGAGGCACTGTGAGGAGTGCCCTGTGCAAAGTCCCCTGACATCACAGTTCTTGAAATCACAGCTCTTGCTCTTTATCCCCCACCTCTGGTTATCTCGAATGGGGTCAGGCATAGCAGCAAACTAAAAGATTTCTTGAGAAAAAGCAGTGGTTAGCTTTAATCCACAGCCACACTCTTTAGGATTCCCAAAGTCTTATTTTAACCAAAACTTTTGCCCACATTTGATAACACATCGTTATGTTTTGGAGATTGGAACCACCTCACTGTGCCCATAAAATCATTCCATTTCAAGTTGGAATCAGTTGCCCATTGGTATATGCTAAATAGCCTGGCATCTTCTCTAAATGTATTTACTTTTGTTTTTTATTATTATTTTAAACTGACAAATCGTAATTGTATATACTTATGGGGTGCAGTGGTATGACTAAAACAAGCTAATTAGTATAGCCATCACTTCACTTATCATGAGACATTTGAGATTTCTTCTCTTGGCAATTTTGAAATACAAAATACACTATTATTAACTACATTCATTATGCTTTATTTCTTTATTTGAGACAGAATCTCAGCCTGTCACCCAGGTTGGAGTGCAGTGGCGTGATCTCAGCTCACTGCACGATTCTCCTGCCTCAGCCTCCTGAGTAGCTGGGATTACAAGTGCCTGGAATGATGCCTGGCTAATTTTTGCATTTTTCATAAAGACGGAGTTTCAACACATTGGCCAGGCTGGTTCACCATGCTTTAAATACATCTGCACATATTCCAGTAACCATGAATTATGGTCAGTCAATAACCACATGTCAGTGCTTTCTAATGACTCCTTTCTGGGATAACTAGAAGGTTATCATTCTCAGGTTCCATCTCACCATCCCTTCAAAGTCTTCTTATTCCTATCTCCACCCGCTGTGAACGTCCTCAGCCTCTCATCATTGTTGGCCAATGCCCCGACTGGTTCAACAACACTTTTTTTTTTTTTTTGACACAGGGTCTTACTCTGTCATCCAGCTGGAGTGCAGTGGCGTTACAGCTCACTGCAGCCGCAACTTCCCAGGCTCAGGCAATCCTCCCACCTCAGCCTCCTGGGTGGCTGAGACTCCAGGCATGCCCCACCATGGCTGGCTAATTTTTAAGCTGTTTATTAGAGATGAAGTCTCACTTTGTTGCCAAGGCTGGTTAACAACACTTTTTAGAATCCTCCTTTTCACAAGCAGTTCTTACAGCCTTAGACTAAGGTATCACAGTTCTAAGATTGAATATTATATTGTAAGATGGAAATAATGAAGCTGTTGTTAGTTGTAGCAAAAATTGCTTGTGTTAATTATGTTAACATCAAGTAAAGATTTTTTATTTATGCTTTAGGCAGAGAGCACAATTTTAACGCCTATAGTGACAACGTAACAGATTCCCTGAACGTTGCCTATGATTACACTTCAGTAATGCACTACAGCAAAACTGCATTCCAAAATGGAACAGAGCCGACAATTGTCACAAGAATCTCAGACTTCGAGGATGTGATTGGCCAACGAATGGATTTCAGTGATGCTGATCTCCTAAAATTGAATCGACTGTATAACTGCTGTATGTGACAGGTTCTTTGAAATGACTTATATTTCCCTCTGTTATGTAGAAAAAAATGATGGTCTGTGCCATTTTGTCAAGCATTGGTGGGGTTTCTGAAATTATAGAAATGTGATGTTCAGGAAGTAAACAGAATAGCACTCAGATCTCCATCTACAAACTTGGAAGCAGCATTTTTCTTTTCACCACATCTGCTGTTGAGATCTAAAAATAAATTGGGTCCTGTAGAAATATGCCTCAGACAGGTTTTTAAAGCTGTTACTAATTCAAATGTGGATCAGATTGATACTTACACTTTTTCTTAGCTAAAATGATATGTATAGTTGTAATATGAATGGGATCAAATCATCTGGATTGTGGCTTAATGATTCGAATAACTAGGGGAGTGTAGACTCAGGTTTCTACAAATTAGATAATTTTTGTAAAAAGACTTGGGGCAGGGAGCTTATTCAGATCTACAGAATTAATTATTTTCTTTGTAGGGGTTCTGCAGATAAAGAGTGATCTTTAAACCACCATCACCCAGAATCAGCTAGGCGTCCCCTGTAATACCATCCTAGCATTTCTAACATTGTGATAAGTTCAGTTTTTGTTACTTAGATTATCATGTTGTATGAGTGTCAATAATTGTTTTTTGCTTTTGTAGCCTCCTCCTTGAGTTTTATGGACTCGTGCAATTTTGAACTGGAAAATGTGTGTGGTATGATCCAAAGTTCAGGAGATAATGCTGACTGGCAACGGGTTTCGCAGGTTCCCAGGGGGCCAGAGAGCGATCACTCCAACATGGGCCAGTGCCAAGGTAACAGGAGTGAGATGCTCCTAGACTGTATACTCAGTGGCAACAGCCATGTACTTCTCTATGAAAGACTGGGATTTTACCTCTGATTTCTATCAGAATTATTAATAATTATTCATTAGATTACTACTAAGAAGTAGGCCTTGCATCTTATAAAGACATTGTTAATTTCTTTGCTTTTCCTTCCTGAGTTTATTTTTCTTTCTATAAGTCAGAGCTGGGCTCTGTGATGCCTCTACCAGTGTGTTCCCATAGGAGCGTATACCAGACTGAACCTCCTGCACGGACTCTTATCTCAGGGGCAGTACTACTGTTTTCCAGAATTTTGCAGAATTCAAGAGACTCTTTCCAGTGGACAGCACTAGGCTGTGAATTATTGTTTCAGAACTGTAGCTGGATGTGATTATATGCTCTTGTTACAAAAATATCTAAAAAGCACAGTTTAATTTTCTTCAGATGCATATCCTTTTCCATCTTCATTTTGTTTTGCATTAAGTAGTCATTTGGCTACAAGCACCAAATTTTTACTTATTTGCTTATTCTGGCAACAAATATGTAAAACTAGACTTCAGAACTTCGGGCAAGTGCTTAATAGCTCAGATGATCTAGGCAGGAATTGGAGGCTTCTAATGGCAAAAATGTGCCTTTCCTTTTATTTTTCTTTATAAATGAATATTTGGATAGAGGCTAGTGGTCCTACTTAGACCAGAGGAAAGTAGATAGGGAGGGAGGGAGGAAAGGAAGAAGAATCCAAATCAGGTGGCTGTCACTTTTTTCTGTTTAGAAAGTGTTTAAAAAAAAAAAGGGGGGGGGGTGTGGGGGCAGGTCAGCCAAAGCCCTGGTTTTCTGCCTGGACTCTCGCTCCAGCGTGTGCCCACCTCTCCAGAAGGACGGCAAGTTCATGTTGAATTAGCCTTGGGAGACACAGATACTACAACTCTACCTACCCAAGTTTCAAACCCTCTTTTTGACTTTAATTTCTATGTTCCTTTTTTGTATTCTCAGAGGGGGAACAACCTTCTTTAGCATCTTTTTCAATGGGAGCTCTTCCCACTTGGAGCTGGACCAGGGCTGTGGACACTGGAATGGTGTCCTGTGTAAACTCTACCCTTTAGCCCTGCTGTCTGGGCGTGACCTGAAGCCTTACAGTGACTTTTTAAAAAAATTAACATTTGATACTTAAACTTGCTATATCATTATAGCTCATAGCAAATGAAGATAAGCAAGCATCAGTGCCCACGGAAAACTACTATTGTAAGTAAACGTTTTATAAATAATAGAGAGGTTTGAGTTTTATACTGTTACATCAATCTGCTAGCTTTTGCAAGTGCCAGATATGTAGCTTAGGCTTCTCTTGTTTCTCCCTTGCCATTTATATATGGATGTTACTTATGCCTCGTGTAAAGAATCTAGCTGCCACCATTAACAAACACACATTCCTATACCCAGTATCTGTTTTCTATCAATTCTGCTTTTGTTTAACAGGTTCTGGTTTCTTCATGCATTTTGATGCCAGTTCTGTAAATGTAGGGAACACAGCAGTGCTAGAAAGTAGAACGCTGTACCCTAAAAGAGGATTTCAGTGCTTGCAATTTTACTTATACAACAGTGGAAGTGAAAGTGATCAACTGAACATCTACATCAGGGAGTATTCTGCAGACAATGTGGACAGCAATTTAATCCTTGTGGAAGAAATAAAAGGTACAGTGTCGACATCTTTATTGTTTGGGTTTAAAGTAAGTCAATCTTAGGTCTTTTCTTTAGTTAATGCAACCATTTACAATAGGTTAGGGGCTACTGAGTCACTACTCTTCAACTAAGACCTAGATTCTTCTTGTTTTAAGCTGTGGCAAGAAAGCTAAAATGAAGATTCTTTCTGAGTGCTCTGTCATGTAACACTGGTACCGTGGAGGTTAGTTCTTGGCGAATAATAAAAATACAAGGCTGGGCGCAGTGGTTCATGCCTGTAATCCCAGCACTTCGGGAGTCCAAGGCAGGCCGATCACCTGAGGTCAAGAGTTTCAGATCAGATTGGTCAATATATAGGGAAACCTTGTCTCTACTAAAAAGTTACAAAAATTAGCTGGGAGTGGTGGCGCATGCCTGTTGTCTCAGCTACTTGGGAAGCTGAGGCAGGAGACTGGCTTGAACCCAGGAGACGGAGGTGGCAGTGAGCTGAGATCGTGCCACTGCACTCCAGCCTGCGTGACAGATCAAGACTGTCTCTGATAAAACAAAATATACAATAAAAATACAATGCGAAGTAGCTTAGGCAAAATAGGACGGGCTCTTGGCTGAAGGTTAGTTACAGCCTGTGGGACAGATGAGGGAGAATTATTAATAGATCTGTCTCTGAACATTGCTGGGACCTCTTGTTTTATCTCAGAATGGCTTTGTTTATAAGACTGGTACTTTGGTTGTTTCACTTCCTAGCTTACATTTGACCAAATTTGCTACCAGTCTGGAAAAAGAACTCTTCCTCTAATATCAAGCTTGAAAAATAAATCCCAGTGAAGAACTGGGACGCTTATGACTTAAGTTAGACACAACTTCTGGAGCAATTCATGAGTGGGAAATGGGTACCCACTCTTCATACCAATAATGTGTTGGAGAGGAGAGCCATGTTGACCACCTATGCTAGTAGATGGTTAAGGGGGTGGCCTGAGAAAGGGAGGGGTTGTGGGCTGGCAAATATATTACTGTCTTCTCCACATAATCATCTCATGGCTTGAATGAATTGAGTAATTCAGTTTGTTCCACAACTGGATACATATTATGCAATATAGTATGCCATTTTCTTTCTGTTTTTAACAATGAGAAACAATCTGAAATACAGATGATACTTTTCTTTGTGAACACCTATGAGCAGTAAGGTTCTTAATATCAGTAAGAATATGCACATTATACATATATATTATTTATGTAACAATATAAAATATATAAAGTATAATTATAATACATATTATATATTACATATATAAAAGCCTTATATATATAAGCCATATGTTACTATAATTATATATTATGTATTATATCTAAATTAATACAAATATTGATATAATGTATCTATAATATATATAATTGTCCAGGATTGGAAGAGGAATCCTTTCTATTTGCAATCTGTAGGTGTGTCATTGATATACAATAACACAAAAAGCCACTTGAGAAGCTTGCTTATTTTCTGTCATTTGGGTATGTCTAACTTACTTTCAAGTAGTTGTGTTTCACATTAAGTGCCCACATATTTTTGTTTTAAGACTTTGTGTTAACCACTAGTTAGACATGAATTTCTCAGCTGTTGTCCATCTGAGGGCTTCTGCAGATTATTCAGTATACTGCTTCTTATTTCAGTATGTGATATAAGAAAATCAGACAAAATGGCATATCATGTGCTGCTAGCGAGTTGTATGGGCTAATAGTTGGGGAGGAAGTGCAGGTTGGGAAGAAAGGAGGTAGTACCAAATATCAGATAAATGCCTAAAATGCTGAGTCACTGGTAAGTGATCTAAAGAGTAGATTGCAGGATGTGGGCTTTCTAGAGTTTGGTGAATTCTTGTTTACTATTACTAAAAAGTTGATTGAAGATTTTGCATGTGAGGGAAGTATTCCAATCAAACTATAAATATATTAAAGAAGGCTTTGCCTGAGTATCACAGGAATCTTGGGTAGAAGTGTTACAAGTGTTGGGCTTGCTGGCTGTTTAACTAATGGAGAATGGCAGGTAAGTCATGGAATAGGGCATGAAATACTCATGAACTAGATATTGTTGTTAACTCACCCATCTCTAGGAGAGGGTGATCTATTTGAGAAACAGCTTGACAAACATTCAGCTATTCCAGAAACAGTCTGACCCCACAGAAGCACCTTGAAGTAAATAATTCTAGGCTGGAGCTTTGAAAAAATCATACCTCTGACCTGTAGAAATAAATCGGTTTTGGATGATCCTTTGTCTAGGAAGGCTAGAAATCTAATGTTGACATGTGCATGACTTAAAGTTCTTTGCCTTTGAAATAATAATGACTTTTTTATAGAAATACCCATTGGGAGCTGGCAACTTTATCACGTAACGTTGCAAGTGACCAAGAAGTTTAGAGTGGTGTTTGAAGGACGGAAAGGCTCTGGCGCATCACTGGGTGGTCTGTCTATTGATGACATCAATCTTTCGGAAACACGGTGCCCTCATCATACATGGCATATAAGGAATTTCACAGAGTTCATTGGCAGCCCAAATGGAACTCTGTATAGCCCTCCATTTTACTCTTCTAAAGGTTATGCCTTTCAGATTTCCTTAAATCTAGCTGATGTGACTAATGCAGGCATATATTTCCACTTGATCTCTGGAGCCAATGATGATCAATTACAGTGGCCATGTCCTTGGCAACAAGCCACAATGACACTTTTGGATCAAAATCCTGACATTCGACAGCGTATGTCCAATCAGCGGAGTATAACTACAGATCCATTTATGACCACTGGTTTGTAACTCATTTTCTTTATTTCTAATAAACAATCATTGCTCTAGGAGAGATGGATAATTTTGGGAATGAGAGATTGCACAGTTAGTTAACTAGGGAATTTTGAGCCCCAAATCTTAAGAACAGATATTTAGGGGAAAGGTTTCAAGAATTGTAGACAAGAGTTTCTCAGACAGAGTCAATCAGAACTGTCAGCAAGTACTCCAACAAACAGAGAAGATACTGACTGTATTCCTGAGACTTGATGACCCTCCCCAAATTTCCACTTCTGTGCAAGGAGTGTTGGTTTTCAAGTCTGACATTCAAGTCCAAGGTTTGCTTCTCATTAGCTATGTGACCTTGAGCAAATAATCTCTTAAGGCCCCAGTGTCCTCAGCTGTAAAGCCAGGGCTGTAGTAACAGTCCCACAGATTTGCTTTGAGAGTTAGTATAGGTCAAGTGTGGAAGCTGTGGAAAGGCCTGCAGTGGAGAGGCCCTCACATGCTGGGTTCTCCTAACTCATGCTACCTTGTTCACGCCACTGGAATTGTCAGAAACAATCCAGCATTTGAAATGGGGATAGTTTTTGACCAGAAGGAAGATATTGAGCAGGTGCATTCAAGTGTTGGTGGGAAGGGTGTGAGAATGCATCATAATTTCTTAGTAAAGAGTTACAGAGGACTTGCTAATCATGACATCATTCCCCATCTTTCCCATCTCAAAAAGACACAACCCACTGAAAGCCAATGATCACACTTCTAATTTTAATAATCCTTTGTTTCTGTAACTTTGTTAAAAGGATTCTATTAGTAGCCTTAGAAGGCTACTAAGAAATTATTCTAATAGATAGGAGGGTTTCTATACTGGCCAATGAGTAGAGATATGATAGTCTCAGGAATATCATATCTCTGGTACCTAGGAAACTTCTGGTATCTCTCCACTCTTATTCCAGAGTGTGGTCCTCCCTGCCAGGCAATCTCATTTCCTTTAGGACAGTATAAATGAACAAGCCTCAGTGATTTGCCAGGGAATACATCACAGGTCAATGGCATCATTTAATTATTTTGAGTTCCAGCCTAATTGTATTTCACATTGCCTGTTCTTTCCTACCACCAAAAGCTACGATGATGCTAAACACACTCCATTAATATAAATTGCTTTTTCAGATAATGGAACCTATTTTTGGGACAGGCCTTCCAAAGTGGGAGCAGTGGCTTTTTTCCCTAATGGAACTGAGTTTAGAAGAGGTAGGGGCTATGGAACCAGTGCCTTTATAACCCATGAGAGGCTGAAAAGCAGAGATTTTATAAAAGGAAATGATGTTTATATCCTACTGACAGTGGAAGGTATGTCAATAAAAATAGTTTTATATAAGCCAGCTTTTTGTTGTGACCATTGATTTTTATCTGTTTTTCTGCATTCCATTTTTAGGTGTATTATACAGAGATGTGGGGAAAATGGGCATGTGTGGGATTTGGGGGGAATACAAATTATTAACAATATGAAAATAATTTAATTTGGAACAGTGAGGATTGTGGAATAAAGAATTTAATGACCACCACATGAAGTTATAGTAGAAACCTTTAGGTTGGGAAATTTCTTTAGAAATAAGTTAAAATAGAACCATTATACTCTCAGATTCCTGAAATAAAAATATCACACAAGCACATGAAATTAAACTGGAAATGACTGTGTCTTATCTGTTTCAAATGTATATACATCTATATATATGTGCATATATATATCTTGGCAGAAATGACATTAATATATATAATTATATATATATATATCTTGATAAGATATAAATGAGAAGATATATATAATTAAACATATATATCTTGGCAGAAATGACATGAATCTAGTGTTAGATTAATGGTAAATTTCTTACTTGTGGCAGCCAATAAATACATTTTGCAGCAATGCTGGTGGTTGCCATTTTTTATGTGGTAGAATTTTAAAAGACCCAGCTGCATCTCGGTAAATCAGATTCTTGTTTGTGATGAAAGGTGGTGCAATTAAAACCCACAAAATTTTGACCCAGTGTCCATTAGAGTAAATCTAGATGATACCTCTTGGAAAAATTATTCAGAAATAACTTTTGTTAAGAGAGAAAACATTTTATGTAGCAGAGGGAAAAAAATCAGATACGCATCAATTCTCTTTCACCATAGTGATTTCAAGGAGAAGCAATAACAAATACTGCAAAGAACATAACACTGGTTGTCAGGGCACTTTGTGTCTTGCTCCAAATCTCCACCAACTTGCTCTACCAAGCCAGACACCTGTAACCTTGGGCAATGCCCTCAATTACCTTAAATTTCTGAGTTTTGGTTTCTTCATCTGTCTTTCAAAGGTTGGTATCAAGGGCGTATACTCACCCAGGCTAGCATGTGGTTGAGTTGGAGCCAGCAGGCTGGTCCAGTTTCCTTTTGCCTAGTTCTTATCTCACTGCCTATGAATGTTGCTAGACTGTGCTTCAAGGTTACCTGAATTTCTCACAAGCTTAAAATCTGAACATTGTCTATTTTGAAACTGAAGACTGGGCTAGCCATGGTGGCTCACGCCTACTATCTCAGCACTTTGGGAGGCCGAGGTAGCAAGACTGCCTGAGCCCAGGAGCCAAGACCAGCCTGGGCAACATGGCAAGATCCTACCGCTAAAAAAAGAAGAAAAAGAATCTTAAAGATCAGACGTTTGTTAACCAAAAGCTGACTTCCATCCACACTCTTCCCCATATTCCTAGACATATCTCACCTCAATTCTACACAAACCCAGCCATCACCAACCTCTAGCATCCAAGACCTCTGCTCAAAAACCACCTGTGAAAATGATGGTGTCTGCACTGTTCAAGATGGCAAAGCTGAGTGCAGGTAAGAATCATTTGGAAGAGATCTCTCCATCCTTTGGTTAGAAATTTTATTCCCATAACATAGGATTGAATACTTGATAGTTCATATGAATAAAATCAGTTATTTTTCATCTTAAAGCCATTCACAGAATATTTATTTTTTTCGTTTTCCTTTTGGGGCTTTGGATAGACACAAGAACTTTCTTTGTGATAGACAACACAAATTTTTTATGAAAAAGAAAAAGCACACTATATTCTAATTGTCTGAAAAAGTCCTCATAACAGTTCAGTCATTTTAAATGTAGCTGCCTCCATTTTCTAGATGAAGATACTGACATTCAGTGGGGGGCTTGGTCAAGATGTGAAGCTGAAGGGTGGCAGGTGTGGGACACTGAGAACTAGCCTTTTGCTTTTATCTGTGCTATTGGCCTTTTCTAACTTGGAGATGCTGTTTTAGTATCAGCTTAGAAGGAATTTCATTTTTTCTTTCCATTGCTTCTACCTGTGCTCTAGGTACTAGTCTCGTTCCAGTCCAGAGTGGGTAAAATAGTTCCATATAGCAAGGATCTACTGGTGATCAAGTAGACTAAAGGTGATGCACATCTTTAACGGTAAAGATTTCCAGAGCTAGATATCAACTCATAACTCTGAGTCACTCTCTCAATGTGCAGGTGCCGGTCAGGGGAAGACTGGTGGTACATGGGAGAAAGGTGTGAAAAGAGAGGCTCTACCCGAGACACCATTGTCATTGCCGTTTCATCTACTGTCGCTGTGTTCGCCTTGATGCTGATCGTCACTCTTGTCAGTGTCTATTGCACCAGGAAGAAATATCGTAAAAAGATGAGTTCAAATACAGCGAATTCGACTCTGCAAAATGTAAGTTTAGGCTGATGTTTGATTATTCACAACCAACTGTTGAAATCATATGGAGAGGAATTAGGACATTTTTGCTATACTTTGGTTCTTGCCTTGTTCTCTTTATTTCCTTTGCTGGGACAACTGATTTCAGACTCTAAAAGTTCCTATTACTTTCACTGTATGTCAACGATTCTTAAATTGGGATTTGTGGAGGTTCATTATCCTCCTGGAATTGTATCCAACATTGTGTACAGTTGTTTGTGTGGGTTTTGTTTTCCGGAGTGTGGGGTGGTCTGTGACTTCAAATGCACAACAGATTTTGCCTGCAAGTTCAAACCTTCCTGGTAAAGGGGAGAGGTGGCCTGCAAGTGTTTTTGTTCTAAAGGCCTTGCAGTGGTGCTGAGCTGAGGCCCATAGGAAGGGGATGCAGGCATGTTTGGGGAAGCTTTTTCATCAAAGAAGGTTCCAGTTAATTCTGGCTTCATGTGGAATAACTAATTCTAAGACAAGTTTTCAAGTAGAAGATTTAAAGTCTTGCCTTAAAAAAATCTCTAAAATGCGAATAGACTCCTGAAACTACCTTGTTTCCAGTGGGTCCCTTGGGAAGCTGACTCTGAGATGGATATTTATATACAGGAGGTATACTGGGGAGGGCTCCTGGAAAATGTGTAATAGGCTGAGGGAGCTGGCCTGGCCTGGGCAGAGGGTGAAGTTGGACTGTGATGTTGTTGCAGCTGAGGGCTCAGCTCATCCTCCAGGGAGCTCTGGAGTAGGGATGACTCCCTCTTAGACACGTCCTGAATGGGGGAAGGGGGACAGGTCTTTGTACTCCCACATCACTGGATTGGGGCTCCCTCCAAGGAAGGGGCATAAAATTGAGCAAGGCAATGGTCTTTGGGGGAGGGCATTTTTTGTATCCTGCCTTCATTCAAAGGGCAGTACCGAGCAGCAGGGCCCTGGCATCAACTACATACTCCAGCAGTAGAGCATGGAGTTTTACATGCAGATTCATATTCTTCCTCGCAAAAGGGCACAGAGAGTGTCATAAAATCTGAACATTACTTCAAAGTGAAGCCCTAAAATTCTTCCAGTTCTATTTCATTCCAATTGGAGTCTCTAAAATTGCTACTGAAACCAGTCAGAAAATATGCCTAATTAGAATATATCCAAAAATAAAAATACTGCAATTGGCTGAAGCAAGAGTGTATTTTCTCAAGAAAAACGATTATTCAAGACATACTATATTTAAAGTTATGAGTTTTTAAAGGGGACAGCCTAGTATCAAGATATTATTTTTTTTGCCAAGTCAGTCAAAACATGGACAATGATAATGAACTGAAAGCAAATCGTTGTGTTATCATAGGCTACAGGATAATCATTGTATTATCATTGTCCTATTTCCTCAACATCAGGAAGATGTTTTATGCTAATCTTAAGGCAATAGATCAATTACTTAACCAAATTATTAGAAAATACTTAAAATGTAAATAGGTTGTTTTGTTTTAAGAGAGCTTTCAGCTTATTTTATGACTTAAAAGGAAAAGATCAGCCAATACTTGGCCTGGTAGGTCAACCTGATGGCAGCTGTGCCTGCAAGTTCGGTCCCCTGGGCCACCGAGATGAGCCAGGAGTTGGTGCAGGGAAGGTGGAAGAGTGGCAGGGGAGGAGGGGACAAGTTAACTGGGTGGATGGGATTGCCAGGATATTTCCCTGACAACGGGAAGTGTAACAGCTGTTATAAGGGCTCTAACTTAGCAAGTAAAACTGGAAGGAGTTAAAGAAAAATGACAAAACCCAAAGAGAAGAGAAAGAAGGAAGCTAAGTCAATAAAGGAGGGAAACCATGAGAATATCAGGGACATGGTGAGGATATTAAGTGGAAACACACACACACACACACACACACACACACACTCCATAATGTTACAACAGGACTGTTTTGTGTCTGGGTCATTTAAACATATTCCCAAGGACAAGGCAGTTGACTTACATTATCTTGGGCTAGGCATTGGTACAGTTAAGTCACTGATAACATATCTCCCAGATGTAATTTAGATTTTAAATCAGCATGACTTTTTTGCTGAGGCCAATATATGTGTTCACCCTAATGTTTTAGCATCTGAATAATGTGGGCCCAAAAAGCCAGGGCTTTAAATGGAGACCAGGAGCAGGAGCCACTTGCCAGCTAAGAGAGAGGCCAAGGGACTGCTGATGAGGACTTCATTTAAAGACTAGATCATTTTATTGTGATTCATTTAAATAACAGTTTTTAAATTTAGAAATTAAATCATCAATTGTTCTTTTCCCTTTTAGGAGCATGCTTTTTGAAGATTAACTCCACAATATGGCAAGCAAATGGAATTAAAAAGGATCCTTCATCATGGATTTCACCTACGTGATATTACAACCACCTCATTCTTCTAAAAAGGGATCTTTTCTGTAAATAGCTAAAACTACTGTAAATCACTATTTTGATCAAAGTCAATTGGTGAAATGCTGTTTGCATATCCTTCTTTTAAATGAGAGAAAAGCAATTCAGGCTTTTCTGGAAGTATAATATTGTCTATAAAAAAGGACACCAAGCTGAGCGTGGTGGCTCATGCCTATAATCCCAGCACTTTGGAAGACAGAGGCAGGCAGATCACAAGGTCAGGACAAGACCATCTTGGCTAAGATGGTGAAAGCCCATCTCTACTAAAATTACAAAAATTAGCTGGGCATGGTGGCGGGCCTGTAGTTCCAGTTACTCGGGAGGCTGAGGCAGGAGAATTACTTGAACCGGGAGGCAGAGGTGGCAGTGAGCTGAGATCCCACTACTGCACTCCAGCCTGGGTGACAGAGCAAAACTCCATCTCAAAAAAAAAAAAAAAAAAAAAAGGAGAGCAACAGTTAGAGATAGCTTTTCATATTACTGTTTCCTCCATATGGGGGCCAAGTGTGGTGTCCTCACAAGTGATTCCTTAGAAACCTAGAAACACCCTATGGGAATGATCCTCCATGCCGAATTGCAGCAATTTCAGTGCCATCCTTTCCCAGAATTGAGAAGGGTAATGGGATAGCTCCCCACTCTGTCAACATACATTCTTCTCCAAAACTGGCTACTCTCTTATTTTCTTATATAATCCCTTTGGTACATGAGCTTGGTTTAGAATTTGAGCATATGACTATAATCAGCAAGAAAACCTTTCATTCTCTGAGCAGCACATCTCAAAGTTTTGAATCTCAGGAGTTTTTACACTTTAAAAATTACTGAGGATCTAATCAAACACTGCATGTTCTCACTCATAGGTGGGTGTTGAACAATGAGAACACATGGACAAAGGGAGGGGAGCATCACACACTGGGGTTTGTCGGGGGGAAATAGGGGAGGGACAGCAGGGGGTGGGGAGTTGGGAAGAGATAGCATGGGGAGAAATGCCAGATATAGGTGATGGGGAGGAAGGCTGCAAATCACACTGCCATGTGTGTACCTATGCAACAATCTTGCATGTTCTTCACATGTACCCCAAAACCTAAAATGCAATTTAAAAAATAAATTAATTAATAGGTATTGACAAATAAAAAAAAAAGAAAAAAAATTACTGAGGATCTCAAGGAGCTTTTGCTTATGAGTTCATTGATTTAAAAATTTGCTTTATTAGAAATTCAAACCAGGAAAAATTTAAAGTATGTATTTATTAATCATGAAAGAATAATAAGCACTTTATAGGTTAACATAAATATTTTTATGAAAAATAGCTATATTTTTCAAAACAGAATATTTAGCAAAGAAAGGGGCATTTATTTACATATTTTGGAAAAATCTCTAATGCCTAGTTCAATAGAAGACAGTCAAGTTCTCATAGATTCTTCTGCATTTATTCTCTTGTGATATATTAGTTTGTTTGAAGGATGTGAAGAATATCTAACTTCACACAAATATGTATTTGAAAAAGGGAGGCATATTTGAATAGCTTTTTCAGGTAAATATGAATATTCTTTTGAAATACTTTTGTTAAAAGTTGAAAATGGTAACTTAGAGGTTAGTTGCAATCAAAATCTGAAACCGTATCAATGAACTTTTGTATTCCATTCTGTAAAATCCATTAGTCTATCTTGCATTTTGAGTCTTTCAGCTATGTATGATTTTGCAATATTGTGCATTGATCATTTAGAAAATATCGGTTCACTGAATTATGCAGCTGTTAGTAAACATTTGACACATTTCATTATACGGTATGAAAACATCAGTTAATTGAACTACTGATCTGATTTTAAAGTCTTTCATGCTTGTAATCCCAGCATTTTGGGAGGCTGAGGCAGGTGGATCACTTGAGTCCAGGAGTTTGAGACCAACCTGGACAACATAGGGAGACTGCCTCTCTCTGTATAAAAAATTATCTGGGCATGTTGGCACACGCTTGTGGACCCAGCTACTTGGGAGGCTGAGGTGGGAGGATTGCTTGGGCCCAGGAGGGCAAGGCTGCAGTGAGCTGTGATTACACCACTGCACTCCAGCCTGGGTGACAGAGCAAGACCACGTGTCTAAATAAATAAATAAATAAATAAATAAATAAATGACTAAAACCCCCTCTTGGGAAGTTGTTATGCTCATTGTGGCAGAAACAAATTTTCCAAAATTTTAACTTTTGTTTGAAAGATTCAATTTTATCCTTAGCAACAAATTCCATCTTTCTTGTAGCATCAGGCTCACTTTACTCAATTTTTTAAATTCAAATTTTATTTTGAGATAATTGTAGTCATATTCAGTAATAAGAAATAATTCAGAGAGATCCCCTCTACTATCTACTCAGTTTCCCCTAATGGTAACATCTTGCAGAACTATACACAGTCCAATAGCATAATCAGGATATTGACATTGATACAATCAAGACACAGAACATTTCCATCCCCAGAGGAATCCCTGAAGTTGCCTTTATAGAGCCACATCCATTTCCCTTTTGTTCCCACCTCCTGTTTATCCTCTGGCAACCATTAATATGTTCTCTATATCATTTTGTTATTTTTAAAACATTCTATTAATAGAACCATTCAGTGTGGAACATTTTGGGATTTGCTACCCTCATCCTCTCAACATAACTCTTTGCAGATTCATCCAGGTTATTGTGCCTATCAGTAGTTTGTTTCTTTTTATTGGTGAATAGTAGTCCATGATATGGCTGTACTAAAGTTTGTTGAATAATTAATTGTTGAAGGACATCTGGATTGCTATCAGTTTTTTGACTATTACAAATAAAACTGTTGTAAATGTTTGTGTACAAGTTTTTGAGTCTTCATTTCTCTGGTATATTGCATGTTTCATTTTTAAAGAAACTACCAACATGACTTGCAGAGTGCTCTACCATTTTACATTCCCACCAGCAATAGATGCGTGGTCCAGTTTCTCTCTTTTTCTCCAGTTTGAGACCATCTCACTCCGTTGCCCAGGCTAGAGTGCACTGGCACAATCTTGGCTCACTGCAACTTCCGCCTCCCTGGCTCAAGCAGTTCTTGACCTCAGCCTCTTGAGTAGCTGAGATTACAGATGTGAGCCACCGCTCCCAGCTCCAAGATTCTTTGTTCTTATATTATTGTATTTTGAGAGTCCTTTACATATTTTATATACCATTCCTTTGTCAGATATGTCATTTAGAAATGCATTTTCCCTCTCTGTAGCTTGACTTTTTATTCTCTTAACAAGGTGTTTAGCAGAGCAAAAGTTTTAAATTTTGATGAAATCCAATTTATCAATTTTTCTTTTTAATGGATTGTTCTTTTGGTGTAAAGCCTAAGAACTATCTGCCTAACCCTAGATCCTGAGGATATTCTCCTACAGCTTAGGCAAAGTTTTATAATTTTATGTTTTACATTTAATTCAGTAATATCTTTTGAGATAATTTTTGTATAAGGTGTGAGGTATAGGTTAAGGTTCATTTTTTTTTTTTTTTGGCTTATGGATGATTCCTACAGCAGAATTTTTTGAAAAACTATGTTTCCTCTATTGATTTATTTTTGCATTTCTGTTTGACATATTTGTATGGGTCTATTTCTAGATTCGCTATTACATTTCATTAATCTATGTATATATTCTTCCACCAATACCATGTACTTTTGATTCCTATATAGTCTTGATTGTATAGTCTTTCTCTACCAATACCATACAGTCTTGATTACCATATATATACTATAGCTATATTGTAAGTTGTGAAATTGGGTAGGCTGATTTCTCCGACTTTATTATTTTTTTTTTTCAAAATTGTTTTAGTTATACTAGTTCCTTTGCCTTTCTACATAAATTTTAGAATAATCTTGTCTCTAACTGAAAAAAATTCTTGCTGAGATTTTGACAAGAACTGAGTTAAATCTGAATATCAATTTTGGGAGAATTGACACCTGTTTACTATGTTGAGTCTTTCGATCCATAAGCATAGTTTCTCTCTCCCTTTCTCATGTTTGTTTTTGATTTCTTTCTTCAGCATTGTCTAGGTTTCAGCAACAAGTCCTGTGCATGCTCTGTTAGATTTACATCTGTGTATCTCATTTTAGGAGAAACTATATTTATATATGCATATATTTATTTTGTGACAGAGTCTCACTCTGTCGCCCAGACTCGAGTGCAGTCGTGTGATCCTGGCTCACTGTGACCTCTGCCTCCCAGGTTCAAGTGATTCTCCGCCTCAGCCTCCCAAGTAGCTGGTATCACAGGCACCCACCACCACGCCCAGCTAATAATTTTGTATTTTTGTAGAGACAGTGGTTTCACCATGTTGGCCAGGCTGACCTCAAAATTCTGACTTCAGGTGATCCGCTGCCTCTGCTTTCCAAAGTGCTGCTATTATAGGAGTGAGCCACCATGCCTAGCAGGGAAACTATTATAATGCTATCATATTTTAAATTTGCTTATTTCCCATCTGTATATTCTCTTCAGCAAAATATCTCTTGATGTCTTTTGCTCATGCTCATAAGTTCCCATGTACTTATTGCTAGTATACAGTAACATAACTGATTTTTGTATATTCAACTTGTGTCCTGAGCTCACTTAATTCTAGGAGTTTTTTTTTTTTTTTTTAAATTTTGGTAGATTCTTTGAGTTGTTTTTGTACTTAGACAATCATGCCATTCACAAATAGGGAAAGTTTTATTTTATGTTTTCTAATCTGTATGTCTTTTATTTCATTTTCTTGCCTGTTGGACTGACCAGAACTTCCAGTATTATACTAAATAGAGTGATGAAAGTGGACATTCTTGCCTAGTTCTTAGTCTTGGAAAAGCACTTTATTAAGTTGAGAAAGTTCTTCTTTATTTCTATTTTTCTGGATTTTTTTTTAATCATAAATGAATGTAGAATTGTGTTAAATGCCTTTTCTATATCAATCTACATAATCATGAGATTTTTCTTCTTTAACTTGTTAATACTGTGGACTACATTGATTGACTCTGAATACTGAACCAGCCTCTTACTCCCTGGAACAAGCCATACTTGGTCATGATGTATGATTCTTTTTA